TGGTGGTAAAGTCACAGGTACTGCTAATACTAGGCTCAATTGTTGCCTGTGTTCATAACCGGAGGAAATGCTATATTTCAGAAGTTAGTGGGGGAAAAAAGAATTATTTTTTTCCCAGCCAAGTTCACTGAACCCCTGGTTTAGAGGTTGCCTGAATTTTCTTTGTCATTGCAAGAGTAAAATATTTTTGTTTGTTAAATTCTAAGTTCTTTGGGCTTCTATTACTGCTTCTTGTGTGCTTCGTCTACTTGAGTCGATTTGCAACGTTGGGACAGCAATGCTTGAAGTCTTGTGTGGAAAGATATCAGCACCTGATTAGAAATGAGAGGTTTCAACAAAAACTCTTGATGATGTTACCTCAGCATAGACCACCAGGCAGGCAGTCGTTGCAGCCCCACCTCTGTTAATTTCATGATGCTTAAGTGTATATGTGTCAATAAAGTTTGGATCATCTGCATTAAGGAATATTATAGTGCTGTCTTGTGACAGTGTCTGCTTAGATATTTCGTGAGGGAGTTTGTTGATTCATGTGACCTTGGCAAAGCCCCTTATAGTACTCCCACCTTCACCTTCAGTGGGTCCTTGCAGCATCCCTTTAGGAGAGCGGGGTGAGGTTTGACGTCCTCATTCTGGAGTTGAGGAAACAGAGTCTCGGAGCAGAGGTGACCGGCCATGCTCCCAGAGCTGTGGAAGGCGTAGGGGAGGAGTGATAAACACTGAAGCGAGGACTGGGCCTCACCTCTAGCCAAGTCTGGAAGCAGATCTGGTCCCTGGGTCAATCTAACTGTGGTGTCCACATCTCATTCTCCAGCCCAGAGGTGGGCCCTGAAGTGCGAAGCAGTCCCAGCCCTCAAGCTAGATCTCCCTGTAAAAGCAGACAGACCAAGGCATCCAGAAACAGTATCTATCGTACCTTCAAAGGCTAGAAAAAACATTCACATGTGTGCGCTCACTTCATCCTCTCAAAAACTCTGAGGTAAGTATTCTTATCCCCGTTCTTCAGAGGAGGAAACTGAGGCTTAGAGAAGCTGTGATTGGCCACCTTAAATTCAGTATTTATTTGGCAGAGTGGATGAAAGCCCAAGTCTGTCTGATGCAAGCTGGGGTTTGCCAATCTCATGTCCAGAGGGTCTCTCCTAGCCACAGCCAGGCTCAGATGGAATCCCAGACCATAAGAAATATAGGGAAAGGTAAATCCAGGGAAGCAGGAGAGTCGAAGAAAGCTTCACAAAGTTAGACTTCTCCCTGGTGCTGGGCAAGAATGATGGACTTAGAAAGATGGAGCCAGCAGAAGTCACTCTAAGCAAGTGACAAGCTATAGAAGGGGAGATGTATCACCCATGTAACAAATGACTCGAACTCAACATCAAGAAATCCATAAATCAGTAAGAAAAAGACAAATCACCCACAAAAGAGTGGGAAAGATGCGAAAAAGCAATGCACCATGCAAGAAATCCATGTGACCAATGTATGTTAGTAAAAGGGCAGCCTAACAGCGTGGCGTAGGCCAGGCTTCTCAAACTGCATGCTCAGATCTCCCAGGGATCTTGGTGAGATTCAGGGTCTCATTTGGTAGCTTCCAGGTGAGACCCGCCTCTAACCAGCTCCCAGACAACGCAGATGCTACTCCTCTGAGGACCACACTTTCGAGCGGAAAGGGCATGTATAGGTGGGGGTAAGCGTGTGAACCTTTCAGCCTCCCAGGCTTGTCTCTTGGCTCTGCCACTTTTCAATTTAGAAACTTGGGCAAGTAATTTAACATCTGTGTGCTTCAGTTTCCTCATCTGGAAAATGGAGATGACAGTAGTCTCCATCTTCTTTTCTTTTTTATTTTTATTTTCTAAAATTGTATTTTTAAGCCCTGGCTGGCGTAGCTCAGTGGATTGAGCGCGGGCTGGGAACCAAAGTGTCCCAGGTTCGATTCCCAGCCAGGGTACATTCCTGGTTTGCAGGCCATAACCCCCAGCAATCACACATTGATGTTTCTCTCTATCTCCCTCCCTTCCCTCTCTAAAAAGAAATAAATAAAATATTTAAAAATAAAATAAAATAAAATAAAATTGTATTTTTAGAGAGAGGGGAAATGAGGGAGAAAAAGAGAGAGAAACATTGATGTGAGAAACATTGATTGGTTGCCCCTCTTAACACACCCCGACTGGGGACCCAACCCACAACCCAGACAATGTGACCTGAGTGGGAATCGAACCCACGACCTTTCACTTTGCGGGACAATGCCCAACTGAGCCACACTGATCAGGGCAATAGTCCCCACGTTCTGTGGCCGGGAGGACTAAATGAGTTAACATAATGTAAAGCACGTAGTGCTGCATGTGGCAAAGATAAGCACTCCATACATGTTAGCCATTGGTGGTAGCAGTAGGAACTGCTCAAGAAATGCAAACTGGCCACACTGTGGTGCCATTTCACACCTACCAGACTGGCAGATGTGAGGGAGTCTGACAATTTCAGGGCTGGGGAGACAGAAACTCTCACACACTGCTGGTGGGAATGCAAATTGGCACGGTCATCTGGAAGGGCAGTTTGGTGGTATCTGCTGAAGTTGAGGTGCTCCTGTGGTGTGATTCTAGGTGCGTATGTGTGTCTACAGAGCAGCAGTGTGTAAAAACCAGCCACTGAAGGCATACATGGCACATTTAGGAAATGGCTGACTTTGGGGAGAGAGGAAAGGGAATACAATTGGGGGGAAGAAAATACTCTTTCAATTTTGCTATGCTTAACAGAAAAAAGTCTGAAGCAAAAATGACTAAATTTTAACATTTGTTAACTCTGAATGGTGGGTACGTGAATATTCATTATGTTATTCTTTCTACTTTCTTGTGTCTACTTTTTTCTTAAGTTTTTGAAAGTTCTTTTCCAGGGGAAGGAAGGGGAAAGGGAGGGAGTGGTCGGAGCAGTGGGAGAAGCGAGCAGTGCAATGTCAGATGCTGGGTGTCGGGCGGGGCACTGCCTGTCTTCAGGAAGGAGTGGAAAAGGGCTGTAAAGAGGTAGGGGAGGAAGCTGAAGCTCAGAGATAGAAAGGGACCTATCTCTCGGAGGTCATGCAGCTAGTGGTGGAACCATTTGGACTACCAGCTCCAAAGTTTCTGCTCTTGCTAGGAGTTTATCCAGGTGCAGGTCAAGCAGACCCCAGCCACAGCCAAGGGAGCCCCACAGGGCGGAGGCAGAGGTTGCACAATCCAGCCCAAGCATTTCTTCTCCAAGGTATTACCTGGCTGTCACTCCCGGAAGTCCTGGGATTGAGGCAGCAAGGCCTCTCCTCCATCTCGCCAGGACCCACTGCTACCCCTCACACAAGGGCTCTCTGTGGCACCCTGAGCCCGGGGAGAGATGCAATGCTTCCAGCACAGCCAGATGTGGCCGTACCTGCACTGGGCCAGGATTCTAGGGGAAGAGACATTTCCACATCCCTACACAGTCTTCTCATAAAGAAACACTTAAGAATCAGAGGCCAGGAAATCCAGAGATTGAAAGGCATGAGTTGGCATGAGTTGGGCAAATGGGTGTTATGTATGATACCACTGTTCACTGTTACACCCATGGCAAGACATCTCTAATCAATCAGAAAACCCCGAGTCCTGACCTCAGAATCCTTCTGAACCCCCTGTTCCGGACACCCTCTACACTCGGTTGCAGTGGGCATGCAAGATGAAGTCTAGTTGGCATCTTTAGCAGACGCCATGGGTGCCCTGCCCATTCCCTCAGCCCTTTTCATTTCAGGGCATATCGGCCTGGCTTGCCACTGCCAGCACTGGCATCTCCTTGCCTAAGGCAGGACAGTGGTGCCGGGAATGAACACCCTCTGGCTGTTCTCAGCCAATGACTTGCAAGAGCTGGCAAATAAATACCTCAGTTCCCTTAGTCTTGGGACCTGATTATGGGGCTCCCCAAACAAAGACTCCCCCTTTGTCTAGTCCAATTGTTACATTTTCTGGACAAGGGAACTGCGGCTCAGAGCAGCCAGGGCCAGTGGCGGGGCTCTCATGGGGACCCTGTTCTCCTGACCTAGGGTTTAGCCCTTCCCAGTGCTGCTGCCGCTGTGTCTATCCTTCCCACCACCCACTGGGGGACTGAGCAGTCTATATCCCAGTGAAAAAGAAAAGACTTGTCACCGCTAGACAACCCATGGGCATCAGAAGCAGGCTGCAGTGTGGCTCAGTGTTTTGAGCAAGGGCCTGAGAACCAAAGGATGGCTGGTTTGATTCCCAGTCAGGGCACATGCCTGGGTTGCAGGGCAGGTCCCCAGTAGCGGGTGCATGAGAGTCAACTGCACACTGCTATTTCTCTCCCTCTCTCCTTCCCTTCTCCTCTCTCTAAAAATAAGTAAATAGAATCTTAAAAAAAAAAAAAGAAGCAGGCTGCAGACAGACCCTCCCTGGAGTCCCTATGGACACCTCTCCTTCCTTGGTCTGGGGCCTCTGGCCAGTCCCTTAAGCTCCCAGGGCCTCGGTCTCCTCAGCGGAAGAATCAGGCTACGGGGGAACTCATACCTCATAGGGTAGGCTTACCTTAGTCAGCCCTCCTTCATCGTAGGCACCATCTCTGGAAAAATTTAAATGCACATGGTCACTTTTTAAAAGAAAATAATTTAAAAATATATTTGCTTTATAAGTTTAGTGGAAAATGCATATTCTTTCAACCTAGATTACTTAATTAATGGAACAGAACATCGATGAGAAAATGATTCCTGCTTTTTAGCCATGGGGATGTTAATTCTGGGTGTTTCTGCCTGGATCTGCCTGGTATTTCGTGCAGCTGGGGGCCTGAGGTCCTCCAGTCTCATCACTGATGTGGAGGAAAAGGCACACCCTGAGAAGCTCCCGGGACTGAGTGACAGGAGAGCCGTTTCTCTCCAAACGGCCCTCCGGCCCTTTCCTCCAGCTGGCAGGCAGCCTGGGAAGGGACTGCCCACAGGAAGGGTGCAGCCAGGCAGGGCCTCCCGTGCACCTCCCTCCAGGCTGCCCTGGTGACCAGGCAGGGAACTGAGCTGCGTTCTACACACCAGTGCAGCGCCCAGAGCTGAGAGCTGGGAGCTGGGCACCGGAGACATGAACAAGATCTTCCCCCAGGTAAGATCTGCCTGAGATGGCTCCTGACCCAGGGGAGCCAACCTAGGGTAGGAGTGGGCAATAAAGAGGGGGGATGTTGAGATGGCTCAGCTCCCCCCTGCTCCAGAGGGGGCGGGGGGATCCATCCATGTGATGGGACGGGGCATCAGGGAAAGCCTCTTTCGGGAGGAGCCGCCTGAGCTGGTTTGAAGGCTGAATGTTTACCAAGGGGACCGTGGCAGCAAAGGCGTTCCAGGCAGAAGGCACAGTGCAGGCAAAGGTGTGGGCATGTGAGCAGGCTTGATGAGTTTTCTGTGTGTGGGGCCAGTGGGCCCACCTAAGGCTCTCAGTGATTTCGGTGGGAAACTCTTTGGTGTGGCTCCCTGAGGCTGGACTTCACCTCACTGAAGCCCACTCCTCACCGTGTTCTCTCGGGCAGGTGGAGGCCAACGGCAAAGCTGCTGCTCGAACCAATGTCCTCCCTGGGGAAGAAGGTAAAGGGTGGAGGGGTGGGGACCAGTGCCTTGCAGGCTCTCCCCAGGGAGAGTTCCCCGAGGTTGGGCTGGTGCTACAGAGGCACAAAGAGGGCACCCTAAGGTTCCCCCTGTCCCTCAGACCTCCGCCCCCCATGTTGATGTCATCCACTCTCTTCTTGGCCAGCCATGTTGACAGCCAGCTGCTTAAGGGGGTTGTTCATCTCTTCACGCACAAGCATTTGTTGAGCACCTACTGTATGCTGCCTACCTCACAGGCACTGCGCCACATACAGAGTCCACCTGTAACCCATAAAGGAAAGATCTCTGAAGTCAAATCCTTAACTCAGTGATTGACGTGGGCAATTCTCTTAACTACTGAGGGGTAAAGTAGGCAGGATCACACACTTATTTGGCACCTGCTGTGTGCCAGTGACTTGTGTGACTAGAACAGTTCAAAGGAAGGAACACACATTGACTGAGCAACTACCCCTCGCTCTGCCTTGACTGTGTCTGACCGAGGAGGAAGCAGACCCAGAAAGGCAGGCACTCACCGTGTCTGTCAAGGGCCTGGCTGCATGACCTCTTTTAGTCCGCAGGCCAGTGCTGAGAGGGGTCCTGTTGTGGGGCAGTAACAGAGGAGGCAGCTGAGGCTAAGAGAGGTTGGGTTGCTTGGCCAAGCTGGGATCCCTCACAGTTGAGAGGTGGGAGAGACAGGGTTCGAGTTCTTATTGGGGTCCGTCTGGTTGCAAAGCCCCAGTGCCTTTGTTACCTCACAGTGGAGGTGTTGAATTCCAGGTCCTGGCTCCTAGTGGGTGTGGTTGTGGAACAAAGGCCTCTTTTCCCGTCTGTCCAGAGTGGGGATTGGAGCCTCAGGGCCTTCCCTCTCTGGAAAGCAGCATCTTCACCTGGGCGTGGGCCTCAGTTCTGCCCGAGTCTCTCCTGTGACCCGTCTTGCCCGCGGGCTGCGCTGCACAAATATTTGAGGAGTGCCTGCCCAGCTGATCAGGGCATTCTGGCCCAGATTCACATGGTCTTGTCTCTCTGGTTACTGGAGTTTCCCATGTTTGCTGACAACAAGGAAACCACCCACTAGGGCCTGCAGGGGTTATCGGTTTTAGATTTATGCTGTATCTCCTACTATCGTCTCCTTTCCCAGCACACACCCACCCCAGGCTCCCACCACGCCAGGCCACTTGCTGTCCCCCAACACCGCCCACCAGGCCTTTTCTCCTCCTGCACTCTTTACATGGAGTGCTCTCTTCTCACACCCTCCCATCTTCCACTGGTGGGAATTCCACGGCATGTTGCTCACACGCCCTGAACCACACTGACTGCCTGGCTCTGTGAGCTGCACAGGGACAGGTCTGACCAGCAGGCGAGCAGAATGGATGGCTCCACAAATATGAGTGGATTGGATGGAAATGGCCTGCCCTGCCCTGAATGGGGTCCCTTTCCTAGTCTTCTGTACCTCGAGTCAGAATATTCATACAGCACCTACTAAGGCATGCCTGCCCCTGGGCTGGATCCTGGGGACACAGATGCTTCCCACCTGCCCTGCTTCTTTCTCTGGAATAACTGGGGCCCAGCAGGCGGCAGTTGTACCCACACTCTCCTTCTAACTGCCCATGCTTTGCCTTCTAAATGCACTGCAAACTCTCAGAGGGCAACGACCTGAGCTATGACTGCTTTTGTGTCCTCTACAGAGCAGGACACCTAGTAGGTCCTCAATACGCTTTCCTTCATTATTTCACAAGCAAGCAAAAATTAAAGGAGCAAATTAAGTTAAAGGAGCAAGATGTTTCCTATTACAGTTATTTCCACAATGCTTAGGATACAACCTGGCACATAGTAGGTGCTCAATATACACTAACAATAGCTAAAACCTTCATAGCACTTACTACGCCAAACACTATTTTAATATATTCACTAGCTTAATCCTCTCGGCAACCCTGTGGTAGGTGTGGTGATCTCCATTTCCCACATGAGGAATCAGGCAGAGAAGTAAAGTGATGTCTCAGGGGGGCCGGGCTGGGCAGTGTGGGAGCTGGGCATCCAACCAGCATCCTGGCAGGCTGTGGAACGAACAATTGGTTGGCACGTGGAAAGGGCTCTGGTTTGGGCAGCAAATAGGTGTGAACTCACATCTCAGCTCCACACGAGGTGACCTGAACTTTGCCTTCTCTGAGCCATGGTGTCCTCATCTATAAAATGTTGTTTTGGAAAATAAAAATAATGGCTATATGGAAGGGCCTGCTATAGTTTCTGCCCCATGGTCAGGGCTCAGAAAGCAGGTGTCCATTTCTGACTGGCTCCTGAGGAGATAGCAGTGTTTGTGGAAGGACAGGAGTGTAAGGGTGATGGAGCAGAGGCCTGGGACCCTCTGTATCCCAACTGCCGCCCACTAGCTACAGGACCGGGCCAGGGACTGGTGCTCGGTGGGGCTGGGCCCACAGGCAGAACTGAGGGCATCGTGGCACCTCCTCCAGGGAACTTCTTTCTGCCCCTGGATACCCAGGTGGGGACAGGCCACTTACAGGAAGGGCCAGAGGAGGGGGTCCCTGAGCCCCAGCACTGGCTGCTGCACCACCGGTTTCCCGCTCCCACAGCAGGCTGTGGCCCTTTCTGCTGCTCTCGCCGAGGCGCCTGCCTCTCGGCCTCCCTGCTGCTCCTGTTGGCAACTCTTGCGGCCCTGATTGCCTTGATCGCCATTTTTGGATCCCCACCACGTACACCAGGTCAGAGTGGTCAAGGGAGGGTGGGTCCTACTTGCTGGGAGGGGATGGGGTGTGGAGACAGGGGGGAACCCTGACCCTGCTTGGTTTCTCCACAAAATGACTTTTGGACAATTCCTTAGGATGTGTGCACAGACTTGGGCACACACATACTGACATTAACATGTCTTGGAGCCTCCATTTGCATACTTGTAATATGAGCTATTAAGAGGTCCCAGCTCTGATGACCTGCCTCCTCCAGGAGGCCTGCTCTGACCTCCAGGCTGGGTTAGAAGCCTCTTCCCCTGGCCTGTGCCCCGGGTGGCGCCATTCGTTTGTGTGTCTGCCTCCATCATACAGGATAAGAGTGTGTCGACCCTTTCCCAGGGCCCCAGCTTCAGTGGTGAGTCCCAGCGTGGTCCCTGCCCTCACAGACCTAACAGTTTGGAGCGACATAACCATTAATTAAATAAGCACATTGAGGCAGGGTTAACAGGATGCTGAGAGTCTGGAATAGGGCCTCTGACCCAGTCCAGGAGTCAGAGTGGGCACCTTGGAAAGTGAAAGGGAGCTGAGGTCTGAAGGGAAAGTAGGAATTGGTTAGCCAAAGGGGTGGCAGGGATGCATACCAGGCTCAGGGAACACTATGTGTGGAGTCCCTAGTGTGGGAGGAAACATGAGGAAAAGGGTAGGAGATCACATGAGGGCCAGAGGACACAGGGCTGGAGCGGTGGGCAGGGCCAGGGGCCTAGGGCCTCAAAGGTTGCACTGGGGGGGGAGGTCACCATCCAGAGCTTGATGGGCAGGGGCTGAGCTCACTGGGTGCAGGTGTTGCCACAACTCCCTTTCTGATGCACAGCTCTGTAGCCAAGCCGGGTATGTAAGGGCCAAGGCAAGGGAAGGGTAAACCCACAGCTCTCTGCATGCTTGTGCAGAGACACGGGCACCTGGGGTAGGTGTGCATCCTTGAGGAGATGCATTCCTGTGCCTCTGTGTGCATACACATGCCTCTGTGTCTGTATGCATCTGTGTGATGCACATCTGTGTGTGTACATGTCTGTGTGCTTGTGCACATATGTGTCTGTGTGTGCATGTGCATTAATGTGTGTGATGATATGAAAGTTTCTGAGAGTAAGTCCCCCTCACGTGAGCTGGGACTTGGGTCCCCTGTGCCCAGGCACACATGCACAAACCCGCTCTCCCATGCATGGCCTGTGGGGCTGGGGTGACATCCTGGCTCATCTCCTTCAATTCTTTATAGCAGCTCCTGGGGTGGTGGGAAGACTGTCAGAAGGGCAGAAATGTTCAGGTGCTGCCTGATATTCCTGGACACTGGGGAGGCCGCCCCAGCCTCGGGAAAGCGCTGGGTCAGCAGGCCTGGGTTGTGAGCTACGCTGGGGTCCATCACACTTCCTGAGTCTTCCTTTTCTCATGTGTGAAATGGGGCTGATGATGATGCTTCCAGGGGGAGTGGGGAAACGATAGAGCAAAACCATGCCAGTGCTTTGTAGACGGTGAAGTTGTGGCCAGATGCACTCATATGGAGTGATGACCTGACAGCCCCAGGCCAGGCCCAGCAAATTGTCTCTGGTAAGCTGGCCTGGTGCTGGGGGCTCCACCATGAAAGCCGCTTTGCTGCTGGAGCCCCGTCCTCAGAGCCTTCTGCGAGCCTGTCCGCGGGTCTCTGTGAAGGAGGGGTACTGTGACCTACTTGGCGCACTCCATGTTCTGGGGTTATGGAAGTCTCCCCAGCAGTCCTGTGGGTGTGTAGTGTGGTCCCCATTTTGCAGACAAGAAACCTGATGCTCAGAGAGGTCGAGTCATTTGCCCAAGGTCACTCAGCTGGCAAATGGTAGAGCTGGGACTTTGGCCTCCGGTGCTAAGCCCAGTATCCTCCTAACTGCCCCAGCCCCTCAGGCCAGCTTGGGGGGAGGGGGTGGTCTCAGGTGTGGGAACCTTGTGATGCCCTTGTGAGCATCATCCTTGACCTTCTGGGGCCACCCTCTGCCCACTCAGCGGCCCAGGCCTGTGTAACGCTGACAAACAGGACAGGCTTCCTGTGCCGTGACCGGAGGAGCTGCATCTCGGCCAGCGGGGTCTGTGATGGTGTCCGCACCTGTCCCCACGGCGAGGACGAGGACGAGGACTTTTGCCGTGAGTACTGCCCAGTCAGGCCCCTGCCCCTGCCCTGAATGGACCTTCCAGGGCCCTTTGGGGTTGCCCCTCCAACTCCCACTATCCCTGCAGTGAAAATGAAGCTCAGTCATCCCTGAAATTACCAGGTACCTTTGTGTCCTCAGGCCTTTGCTTATATGGTGCCCTCAGCCAGCAGCACCTCCCCCCGCACACATATGTGAATGCCCATGTTAAGGAATGGCCTCACTCGGTGCATCTCCATGCCAGAGAATCTGTATTCAAACTTCATGGCAGAGTTCAAGGGTTACCTCCACCAGGAAGCCTTCCCTGACTCTCAAACTAGGTTAAACTTCCTCCTTTGGGCTTCTACATCCCCTGTGCTTCCCTGTGTCCCAGCCCTAGTCACCTTGTCACCCTCAACTGGCATATTTGCCATGACCATCAAGCTGTAAACTCCTCAGGTCAGGCCTGGTCTGCTTGACCTTGGGTCCCCAGTGCCTGGCACACAGGGTATTCAGAATGATTTGCTGAATGAATGATGGAATGAGTGAGTAAATGAATGAATGAATGGGAAGATCTTGTCCCAGACCTTAAAGACCTGACAATTCTCAGGAGAGAGGAGCCAGGCCCTTTGCATGGAGCAGGGAGAGAGCTTGGTAAGTTGGAGTGGGTGGAGAAGGGGTGCCAATGAAGGGAGAGTCATTGCATCATAAACTCTCAAGAGAAGAAGAGAACTTAGAAGTCCTCTAGCTATGTCCCAGTTCATGCCCAAATCCCCCTGACAACAAACCCAGCAGAGGCCCCCCAGCTTCAGCTTGCATAGTCCTGGGATGGGGAGCTCACTACCACTTGAGGCAGCTGCTCCCATCATTGCATGGTTTCTCCATGGGAATGTCTCCCACTGGCATTCTTGATGGCTTCCAACTCTGTCCTCTCATCAACACCTGCTCGCCACGAACCGGATCTTAATCTGTCTCCATGATGGTGGCACTGCATGAACTTGGAGCCACTGCTCTTTTGCCCCACGTAAGTGTTCCCTTCCCTGGGCCACACTCTCAACTCCCAGTCCTCCCCCTTGTGATGGGTCTTCCCCATTCCACCAGCATTCCCCAGAACACACAGCATGTCCATCTCACTAGACAGGCTCCAGAACATTCATGACACTTCTGACCGGCTCTGGCTAGTCCAAGGAACAAAGGCTTTCCCCCCCTCCCTCGTCTGGGTTATACCTCTAGTGATGTGGCCTGAGTTTGTGTTAGTTTTTGGTAGCCTTGTCGCACTGCTGCCTAAGACAGAACACGCTTTCAGGTAAAGTGCTGTAACTCCCTCTCACAAGGTACATGAACTCACATCCTCTGGGTTCTGGGACCCAAGCGTGAGACTTCACATTTATTCTTGTTATGTTCCAGTTGGAGAAGGCTTCGTGGAGATGAAGGAACTTGAACCTGGACTTGACTGGAATGGTTTTGGATAGGTGTCCAGGAGCACTTCTGGAGGGAGGACAGTGCAGGCAATGGTGTGGGGTGGGGATGCACAAGAGCTGCATAGGGAGTGAGGAAGGGAGAGGCAGCTCCCTGGGCGTCTTGCTGGATGTGCAGGGAAAGAACATATCTCTCCTTTGACTTGACTTCCTCCCCAGGAAACCTTGTCCTTGTGCCCTTCCTGGTTTGGGTGCACAGTGACACTGAGTTTGGCAACAGCCAAGGTGGCCATGACAGTCCCCCTCGAGATATCCCTGAAACAGCTGTGGCCAGATGTGGACTTCCTCCTGCCTCATCTGTCCTCCATAGGAGATGTGCCCAAGAGTCTCCCTCAGTTCCTTGTGGCCCACTGTGGAGACCCAGCATCCTGGATCTACTCAGACCAAAGGTGTGATGGAACCAACAACTGTGGGGACTGCTCGGATGAACTGATCCCAGGTACGGGTCTGAGCATGGGCTGGGCTGAGCAGGTGGCCGGGTAGTGACCAGAGAGCAGAGGTTGACCAGGGAATCTCTGAGGTTCCCCCTGCATCCTTTCCTTGCATCCTGGAAAGACGTTTCCACCCCTTCTTGGATGCCTCCAGTGGTGGGGTACTCACTACTATACCAAATGACTCCCACTGGAGCTTTATTCTTCTGTGGTGGGGAACTTAATAGATGGGAAACTGACATGGCTCCAGGGTCACAAAGGGAGACTTGGAATCTGGCCAACAAGAGGGTAGTCAGGCAAGAAGTATGTATGTGGCCCAACTGGGGTTTGAACCTGGGCTTCCCTAACCCCCTCTTTACCTCCCAATAACCCTGTGAGGAAAGCAGGGCCAGAACCACTGGCCCCACTTTATATGTAGGCAAACTAAGGCCAGAGAAGAGAAGGAACTTAATACAACGAACAACAGGCAGGGAAGTTGGGACGCCCTCCCTGACTCCCGGTCTCCTGACTCCAAGTCTGGCCTCTTTCCGCTGTCCCGGTGTTTAACCCGCAAACATGACCTGACGCTGCCTGGGGCTGGGCCCGTGCCAGGCTCTGCTGGAGCACGGCCAGGAGTCACACGTGTGTCCTACCCATAGGACTCACATCCTGCTGATGCCAAAGGGAAGTGACGAGGACCTGGGGAGGTTTTTTAGGGGAAAGGAGGTGGTAAGAATCCAGGAAGACTTCTCAGAAGAGGCGGTATTCAAGCAGACCTTAGAGAATGGACAGGATTTTATTTTAGTTTAGTTTAAAGATTTTATTTATTTATTTTTAAATTTTATATATTTATTTTTAGAGAGAGGAAGGGAGGGAGAAAGAAAGGCAGAGAAACATCAGTGTGTGGTTGCCTCTTGTGTGTCCCCTACTGGGGACCTGGCCCACAACCCAGGGAAGTGCCCTGGATGGGAATCGACAGGGACACTGTGGTTCTCCAGTTGAACTCAGTCCACTGAGCCACACCAGCCAGGGCTGGACAGGGTTTTAACAGGCAGAGGCTGAACGTGCAGGGAAGAATGCTGGAGGCCCGGGGTTCAGGGCAAAGGGGGGAAGTCTATGGGGCACCCTGAAGGAATTTTAGGTGGGCTGGTGTGGCTGAGTCATGGTGAGAGGGGGAGGATGGGGTGCGGTAGACAGTGTGCACCCATTAATATTTGAACATTGGCCATGTGCCTGGCACTACTCCTTAATAACAACCTTGAGCAGATGAGGAAACTGAAGCTCAGACAGGGTAAGAGACTTGCCTGAGGTCACACAGCCCATGCATTGGGATCTGGACTCCGTTTCCCCCTGGGAAACAAGGAAGACAGTCAACCCATGCCAGATGGGATGGGGGTCTGGGGAGCCGTGGCAGGTGTCAGAGGTAGGGAGTGCCCTGGACATTCCAGGACACTACAGCTGCTCTCCTGTCGTCTCTCGTTCCTCCAGTGACTGCGTGCCCACCCTGCGGCCCTGGGTGGTGGCGCTGCCCCTCAACTGTCTTCAAGTACTGTGGCTGTATCCCGAGGAGCCTCTGCCGGGACCGTGTGCAGCACTGCTCTGACTGGTCCGACGAGTACTCCTGTCCTGGCCCCTAGCTGGGCACCCAGGCCGGAGCAGGAGGCTGGCTGAATGGCGCTGATGAGCCTCCACGTGAGCGTCGTGTTGAAGAACACGAGGGCAGGAAGGAGCCTTCGAGTTCATCTAGTGAAACCTACACACTGTGGTCTCTGTGGAAAAAGAATGGCCTCTCCTGCTTTCAAAATGTTCAGCCTCTCCTTGAATACCTCCAGTGACAGGGAGCTCATTAACAAAGATAAGGGAAAACTGCTCCCACGATTTTAGGCCTGCTTCAGGGGCCACGCAGAGGAAATTTGTTCCTCTGCTCTAAGACAGACTCTCAGATCTTGACCTCATTACCCCTTGGAGAAAAGACAAGTAAGTCTGGAGTCAAACATCCAACCGAGGAATTGAGCCCTTATGTGGCGTGCATACCGCTTCCTGTCTCTGTACCTAAGGCAGATAGATACTGCTGGGCTGGGCTATAGCTTCAGCATCTTTCTCGTCTCAGTAATCAGGCCCTCTTGGCTGACCACATGAAGTTTCACCTGCGGTGAGGCTTCATCACCCTGCCGGGGGGAGCCCTCCAGGAGGCTCTGAGCTGTGGAGCAGATGGTCTGGAGAAGGAGCAGCTCTTCCATCCGTCCCACTCTCTACCCTGTGCCCGGTGCCCAGGCACTCCGCCCAGGTTTCTTGTAGTAGCGATTGTCTTTTGACCCCAGAGCCTGAGTGAATGAGTTGTTTCTCTCCATACCTTTCCAGCTTTCCAGCCCCCAGACACACCAGGATCGGTGCTCCCATTAAGGATATGAGGGAGCTGAGGCCTGGAGGGAGAAATGACTTGCCGAGGATCATACAGCAAAGTCAGTGCTGAAACCAGGATCAAACATATTCTAGGGTGTCTCAACCCTAAAGCCTTACCTGCTACCGATATGATTGTCTCTTGACTTGTGGGGGGAAGCGAGGCATGCAGAGTCCCTGTGGGGTATTTTTAAAATTAGCTTCAGGGTCACAAAGTGAGACTTGGAATCTGGCCAACAAAAGGGTTCCTACTGAGGGAGACAGACCTATCCCCACTGCAGACTAATGGAATCAGTTTTGTGTACCAGTCTTGTGTGAGTTCTGGACTGAAAATGGCCATCTGGGAGACAGGTGAGCTCTGGTTCATTCATCACTTGATGAAGAGTCTCTACGCACCTGCTCCGGGCCAAGCTAGGTGCTGGGCACCAGGAAAGGAAGAGACCTGAGTCCCAGCACCTGAGGAGGATGGGGTCTCGTGGAGGAGGCACCTCCTATCATGGAAGGATTGGGGGACAGCAGGAAACGCTAGGCTGAGGGTACTGAAGAGGGGCCTTTGGAAGCCAGGACTCAGTCACGGTCCTGACCCCAATGAACTGAGGACCAGCTCTAGAACTGGTCCCTCAGAGATTCTGCCCGAGGGACGGTCAGCCCCAGGCTCTGGCGCCTCTGGCTGAGTTTCCCTCCAACAGCAGCACAAGTGAGCAGCTGCGGGTACACTGGGGCATCCTGCGTTCTGACCACTGATCCAGAGGCGCCTCTTTCCCAGAGGAGGGGCCTTTGGGCTGGCTCTGGAGGGCAGGAGAACTTCTAGCGGGACAGGTGGAAGCGAAGGGCATTCCCAGCTGAGGGGCCCTGTGAATGAAGCCGCGGCTGTGTGACAGGCTGTGGCTCAGCCAGGGAATGCCAGCAGGTCGGGGTTGCCACAACATCAGTGGGGTGGGAGTGAGGAGGTGAGCAGGGAGAGGATCCTGGAGGACACAGCATGTCACACTTCATCCTAAGGACAACAGCCGTAAGGCGTGGTAAACAATGACACTCTCTGGAGCTACAGTGATCTTTAATTACAACAGTCCAAGAAGGAGATGCCAGCACTTGGACCAAGTGAGCAGAGAAGAGGGGAAGGTCAAGGGCTACTCACTGGCAGAACACATGGGCCATAGGGACATACTTAGTAGGCGTCAGGGGATGAAGAGGAAGATGGAGGGGGCCAGAGCCCTGAGAAGGGGCGCCTGGCCTCCCACTCCAGGCCATGCCTTCTCCAACAGGACACCAGTCTCCAGGTAAAGAGAGTGCTGAGCTGGTCCCTGAGGAACAAGGAGCTCGTTCTGGCACTCAAATGCCAACATGCTTCTGATGGCCTGAGCATCAGCTGTTGCACACCAGGTTGCTGGGGAGAAACCAGCGGAACCTGAGCCTGTGTTTGCTCACACCAGTCCACCTCAGTGGTTGAAGAGGGGCCTCTGGGAGCCAGGACACAATCATGGTCCTGACTGTGATGAACTGAGGACCAGCTCCTAGAACCAGTCACCTCAGGGATTCTGCCCTGGGTTGGGGTTAGGTTTAGGGTTAGGGTTTGGGTTAGGGTTAGGGCTAGGTTAGGTCACTCTGCGGCAGGGAGAGTACCCACTTCTGGCAGGGAGTGGCAGTGCTGCGGTTGGGCTTCGTGGGAGAGAGGCAGGTGGGCCTTGGTGGTCAGCCAGTCCTAGGCTCCTTCAGTGGCCTGTGGCTCTTTGAAAACTCCCAGAGGCACCAGCCTCACTGTTGCACATCGTTTTAGCCTCCCCTCCCATCCAAGCCCATGCACGGGCCCCTTGGGGTACAGAGCGTCATTTTACAGGATCGAGAAGCCACGGCTGAGACCTACTTGTCCAAATCCACTCAGCGTGTCAGTAGCAGCGCATGGACCACAAGCCAGGTTTCTTTCCTTTCTAAACTATAATGAAATGTATTGGCGTGGCATGGGTTAGTAACAGTATGTAAGTTTCAGGTGCACAGTTCTGTTATACAGTATCTATACATTGCCCTGTGTGCCACAGTCTAGTCATCTTCGTCACCAAATATTTGACCGCCTTCACCCTCTTAATCCTCCTCCCATCCCTCTTCCCCTCTGGTAACCACTATACTGTTGTCTGTGAGTATGAGTTTATTTGTTTGTTTTCTTTGTTTGTTTTCTATCCTACCTGAGTGAAATCACATGGTCTTGCCCTCTCCATCCCATTTATTTTGCTTAGCACGATACTCTCAAGATCTAACTTCTCACAAATATGAAGGCCAGGCGTCCAGGCACACACATTAGCACTTGCTACAAACAAGGCGCTGTGCCGAGAGCTTTACGTCTCATTCTCGCCACAATGCTCTGAGGGAGATGCTGTTTTTATACGAAGCTTGGACAGCCAGGCAGCTTGTGGCAGGGCATCTGACTGTGGGGCACAGAGCCAGGTGTCTGGGCACTTGGCCAGGGAAGTTGCTGTTTTATGTTATGTCTCATGAGGTGTGGAAGCTTCTAGGGTTTATGATGCCTGAGCAGAGCCATGATGGAACCAGGTGGGGAACAGGACAGGGCAGTCCGGGTTGAGCAGTGTGAAGCAGCCCCCCATGGCTGGAGTGTGAGGGTGAGTCTCAGATTCTGGGCTCAGGGAGTGAACTTGGCTCAAGGCTGCAGGGAGCTGGCAGAGGAGTTCAGCAGGAAGAAGACACTGCATTCCTCCTTCTGCGGAGGCACAGCAAAAAAGGATCCCTCTGTACGTTAGGAATAAGGAGGTCATGGCTAGACTATCTTGCAGGCTTCTGAAGAGGAAAAGGTGAGAGCTGGAATGTGAATGCCACTTGGAAACAACAAAGCTTGAAGCAGAAGAAAGGGGAGTGCCAAGTGTTGTGTTAAGTGATTAATAAATATCAAGAGCCAATATTTGGTGAGCAGTTAGTACATGCCAAACACCAGTGCAAACTTTTGTGTGCCTTATCTCCTGTATCTCATTTTCTCCACTCCTCACAACCTTTCCAGGAACCTGGTTTGTGTACTTCATGTGCACTTCACAGAGGCATGACGCTGCTTGCTTAAGATCACACAACTTTTAGAGGACTCAACCAGGATCAAACCTCAATAGGCTTCAGTCCAGAACCCACCATACCCCTCTTTAATATCTCACCCTTCCTGGGCCAGGACTCCCTAGAAGAGGAAGCTGGGGCCCTGGCCAGGGGGTGGCCGCCTGAAAACACAGGAGATGATTGGCAGCTAGCAGACCAGCATTTGTTCTTTTCTTTTTTTTTAAGAGTTTAATTACTTGGTGTCTTTTTTTTTTTAAAGAAAGATTTTATTTATATATTTTTAGAGAGGGAAGGGAGGGAGATAGAGAGAGAGAAACATCAATGTGCGGTTGCTGGGGGTTATGGCCTGCAACCCAGGCATGTATCCCAGGCTGGGAATTGAACCTGCGACACTTTGGTTTGCAGCCCGCGCTCTGTTCTTTTCTTAGTTATTGGTTCTTCCTTTCAGAAAGAAGCAGATGCCCTAGCAACCTCCCAAACAGCACTCCATAAGCCAGGTCCAGAGAGACACACACCCAATGGGGCCAGCCAGGGCTGTCCCATGGCTCTCATCAGCAGAGCAGGGGATTTAATGCCACAGGCTGCAGGGGAACCCAGGCAGCCAGCATCAATATTTGCCCTCTCCCAGCATCCTGGCCCAAGCTCCCAGATCAGTACGTTAAGTACAACAGGCTCTTGCTGTACAAATACACAGGGATAGATGGATGGAATTTAAAGTGGCTCAGCATTCCCCCAGGGGTTGGGCTGGAAATATGGTCTGATTTAACCCTCTGCCAATGGTGTTTGCATGAGACTCTGTTCCTCCTCAGACTCATGAACTACAGATATTAAACAGCTTCCCGGAGAGAGAAGGGACCGGTCCAAAGCAGCACGGCTAGGTGGGTGCCGCTGGGATGATGAGGACCACTAAAGTCAAGGCAGAAGTGATTTCTCTGAGTCCTTTAAAAAAATGTTCTAATTGAGATACAATTTCCATACAGTTCAATGAGTTTTTTACAACAGCTTTACTGAAGTATAATTGACATACAACACTCTACACATATTTAAAATAAATACTGTCATAGGTTTTGACACATGTGTATACCCATGCAACTATCTCAGTTAAGAGAATGAATATATCCATCACTCTCCGGTGTCCTTCCAGCCTTTGTAAGCCTTGCTCTCACTCTCCTCATCCTCACTGCCATACACAGACAACCACAGATGGATGTTGTCAGTAGAGATTCCTTCGTACTTCTACAGAATGTTACATAAAGGGAATCATACATGTATGCTCTTTTCATCTGTCTGGCTTCTTTCACTCAGGATAACTATTAGATTTATCTGTGTCGTAGCATGCCCAATAGTTATTCTTTCTATTTTTCAGTAGTATTCTGTTGTATGGGTACACTTGTGCATTCCAGGTTGAAGAAATGCATTCTTCACTTACCTATTTGTTCATGGATTTTGTGTTATTCTTAGTTTGGCTATTACAAATGAAGCTGCTATAGTATGTCTTTATATGAATGTATGCTTTTAAAAATGTATATTTTATTGATTATGCTATTACAGTTTACCCAGTTTCCCCCCTCTTTGCCTCCCTCCACCCAGTACTCCCATTCTCTCCAGCAATCCGCCCCTTAGTTCATGTCCGTGGATCGTGCATATAAGTACTTTGGCTTCTCCATTTCTTATGCTATTCTTAACCTCCCCCTGTCTATTTTGTACCTATCAATTATGCTTCTTATTCCTTGTACCACTTCACCCATTCTCCCTCTTCACCTTCCCAGCTGATAACCCTCCAAATGATCTCTATATCTATGATTCTGTTCTTGTTCTGGTTGTTTGCTTTCTTTATTTGTGTGTTTTTATTCAGTTGTTGATAATTGTAAATTTGTTGCCACTTTAATGTTCATAGTTTTGATCTTTTTTTTTCCTTAAATAAGTCCCTTTAATATTTCATGTATTAATGACTTGGTGATGATGAACTCTTTTAATTTGACCTTATCTGGGAAGCACTTTATCTGCCCTTCCATTGTAAATGAAAGCTTTGCTGGATAGAGTCATCTTGGATGTAGGTCCTTGCCTTTCATGACTTGGAATACTTTTTTCCAGACCCTTTTGCCTGGAAGGTTTCTTTTGAGAAATCAGCTGATAGTCTTATGGGAACTCCTTTGTAGGTAATTCTCCTTTTCTCTTGCTGCTTTTAAGGTTCTCTCCTTATCTTTAATCTTGGGTAATGTAATTATGACAAACCTTGGTGTGTTCTTCCTTGGGTCCAACTTCTTTGGGACTCTCTGAGCTTCCTGGACTTCCTGAAAGTCTATTTCCTTTGCCAGAATGGGGAAGTTCTCCATTATTTTTTCAAATAAGTTTTCAATTTCTTGCTCTTCCTCTTCTCCTGACATGCCTATGATTTGGATGTTGGAATGTTTAAAGTTGTCCTGGAGTTTAAGCCTCTCCTCATTTTTTTGAATTCTCATTTCATCATTCTGTTCTGATCAAATGTTTATTTTTTCCTTCTCCAACCATTGAGTCCTGGTTTCCTTCCCTTCACTATTGGTTCCTTGTACATTTTCCTTTATTTCACTTTTCATAGCCTTCACTTTTTCCTCTATTTTGCAATCATATTCAACCATTTCTGTGAGCATCCTGATTACCAGTGTTTTGAACTCTGCATCTGATAGGTTGGCTATCTCTTCATTACTTAGTTGTATTTTTTTCTGGAGCTTTGATCTGTTCTTTCATTTTTTTAGCCATATATTTTTTTTTCAACTTGCACCTGTTACATAGTAAGGGGCGGGGCCTCAGGTATTTGCCAGGGTGGAGCAACCTGCAACGCTGTGTAGTGACGCTGCATGTGGGGGAGGGGTCTGAGAGGGAACTGTGCCACTTGCTCAGCTCTCTGCCGACTTTCAGTCACTTTCTCCACTTCCCACAAGCAAATTGGGCCTTCTGGTGCTGACTTCCGGGTGGGTGGTTTTGTGTACGTTCTAGGACCCTGTGGGTCTCTCCAATGAACTCTCCTGTGAGACTAGGAGTCTCTCGTGCTGCTGCAATACCCACAGCTTTTTTCAGTCAGAGGCTTTGAGGTTTTATTTTCCCATGCTGGAACCCTGGGTCGTGCAGTCTCTCTCGCTCCCCAGTTGCTCCTCCCAGTTTATCTGCACACAAATGTGGGACTGCCCAGTCCACCAGCCACCACCTTGCCATGAGGCCTCTCTACCCGGCTGCCTGTCTCCACCCCTCCTACTGGTCTGGATGAATATTTCTTCTTTAACTCCTTGGTTGTCAGACTTCCATACAGTTTGATTTTCTGGCAGTTCTGTTTTTTTAAAATATAGTTTATTGATTATGCTATTACAGTTGTCCCATTTCCCCCCTTCACTCCCCTGCACCGTGCACACCCTCTCCCACCCACATTCCCCCCTTTAGTTCATGTCCATGTGTCATAAGTTCTTTAGCTTCTACATTTCCCATACTATCCTTGCCTTCCCCCTGTCGATTTTCTACCTACCATCTATGCTATTTATTCTCTGTAGCTTTCCCCCTCTCTCCTCCTCCTGTTACAGAACAGAACAAGGGGGGCCTGGGACAATATACTATTATTGAAAGAAGGCCCCAGGTCCGTTATGTCCGCCGCCCTAGGAAAGACATCTCTCAATGCCAGAGATTCGTGAAAAGGAAAGAAAATGTTTATTTAATGCTATACAAACTTAAAGTAGTGACCTAATGTCTTTATCAAAAATCCTAAAGTCCCTTAAAACACCCACAAACACACAAAGTCCTTCCTTCCTTCCCCCTTTGCCCAGTCCAGAGTACCGTATCTCAGGAAAGAAAATAGAAGTCCATGGCTCAGGCAGTCCTCTGGTTCTTCCCAGTTAGTCCTCCATCTCGACTGGGAGACCTCCCTGGGTTCCCAGCACCCTCCTCTGAGTCACCAGGATCTCTGCTAAAACCAGGTGGTGGTTCCCCCTTCTAAAGCTGCGGGGGTCCCCGCTCTGTCCAGGCCTCGTAGTTCTCCCTCTCAGGGCTGCGGGAAGGGGAGAGTCCCCACTCTGCCAAAGCCGCGTGGTTCTCTCTCCTATGGCTGCAGGAAGGGAGAGTCCTCACTCTGCCAAAGCTGTGTGGTTCTCTTTTTCTAATGGCCACCAAGTCTGGGTTTTAAATCCCCGCGGCCAATCTTCCTCTGCAGCCTCATTTCCGATTCCTCCCACACTCGGCTTCACATGCCGGAACTCGTATCCTTCCAGCTTTACTGGGCTGCCATCTTGAGTCTGGGCAGGTGTGGCCCCATGTCCTGGAGCCAATCTTCTCCGAGCTCCCACGCAGGCGCTGTAGCTTGGGGGGGGGGGGAGCTGCCCCAGTCACGTCTTGGTGGGGAAGTTACTTCCATTCCCCTGGCTCAGAGATGATCATAGCTATTTAACATATCTAAGCGACCAGCCAAAGGCTATAGATATGTTAAATGACCACGCCAGAGGGTAGCTGCAAGGCTGTTGCTATGCAAAACAGCTCTCAATGGCCCTGCTCCATGTGTCCCTTCCCCCAACCCACACCCTGGGTGGGGGGATGGAGACATCTTAAAATCTCCTGGATACCTTAAGTTCTGGACCCCATCTCAAATGCCCATTTGGGGTTCCCCCTCTTGGCTGCACCCTGTAACACTCCCACTCCCCTGTTGCTAACCCTCCATGTGATCTTCATTTCTGTGGTTCTGTTCCTGTTCTAGTTGTTTGCTTAGTTTGTTTGTATTTTTTGTTTTAGGTGTGGTTGTTAATAATTGTGAGTTTGCTGTCATTTGACTGTACATGTTTTTTATCTTCTTTTTCTTAGATAAGTCCCTTTAACATTTCATATAATAAGGGCTTGGTGATGATGAACTCCTTTAACTTGACCTTATCTGGGAAGCACTTTATCTGCCCTTCCATTCTAAACCAAAGCTTTGCTGGATAGAGCAATCTGGGATGTAGGTCCTTGCCTTTCATGACTTCAAATACTTCTTGCCAGCCCCTTCTTGCCTGGAATGTTTCTTTTGAGAAATCAGCTGACAGTCTGATGGGAACTCCTTTGTAGGTAACTGTCTCCTTATCTCTTGCTGCTTCTAGGATTCTCTCCTTCACTTTTACCTTGGCTAATGTAATTATGATGTGCCTTGGTGTGTGCTTCCTTGGGTCCAACATCTTTGGGACTCTCTGAGCTTCCTGGACTTCCTGGAAGTCTATTTCCTTTGCCAGATTGGGGAAGTTCTCCTTTATTATTTGTTCAAGTAAGTTTTCAATTTCTGGCTCTTCCTCTTTTCCTTCTGGTACCCCTATAATTCAGATGTGGGAACATTTAGAGATGTCCTAGAGGTTCTTAAGCTTCTCCTCATTTTTTTGAATTCTTGTTTCTTCCTTCTTTTCTGTTTAGTTGTTTCTTTCTTCCTTCTGGTTTACTCTATTGGTTTGAGTCCCAGTTTTCTTCCCATCACTATTGGTTCCCTGTACATTTTCCTTTATTTCACTTAGTGTAGCCTTCATTTGTTCATATAATTTGCGACCAAATTCAACCAATTCTGTGAGCATCCTGATCACCAGTGCTTTGAACTGTGCATCTGATAGGTTGGCTATCTCTTCATCACTTAGTTGTATTATTTCTGAAGCTTTGATCTGTTCTTTTGTTTGGGCCATCTTTTTTTTTTGTCTTGATGTGCCTATTACATATGAGGGGTGGAGCCTTGGGTGTTCACCTGGGTGGGGCAACCCAGTGGCTGGGTTGTGACGCTGTATGCGGGGGAGGGGTCCAAGAGGGAACAATGGTGCTTGCTCTGCTCTCGGTTGGATTTCTATTCCTTCCGCCACTTCTCCTGAGCAAACTGGGCCCTTCTGGTGCTGATTCCCAGGTGAGTGGGTTTGTGTATGTTCTAGGATCCTGTGGGTCTCTCTAACGAACTCTGCTGTGAGGCTGGGAGTTTCTCCTGGCACCTCAACCCCCCACAGGTGTTTTCAATTAGTGTTTTGAGGCTTTATTTCCCCAGGCTGAGACCCTGGGTTGCAAGGTCTATCTTGCTCCTCAGTTTTGCCTGGTTTATCTGCGCGCGAATGTGGGACCACCTGGTCCGCCAGCCGCCTTGAGTGCCGGGCCCCTCCATGATCCACCACCTTGCTGGGTCCACCCGCTGCCGCCTTGTGTGCGCAGGGTCCGCCAGCTGCCACTTTGCCGCATGTCCTCTCCACCCGGTCACCCCTCCTCCTGGTCTGGATAAATGTTTCTCATTTAACTACTTCATTGTCCGACTTCCATACAGTTCAATTTTCTGTCAGTACTGGTTGTTTTTTTTGTTTCTAAATTTTTGTTGCCCTTAATTTGGTTGTGCGAGGAGACACAGTATGTCTACCTATGCCTCCATCTTGGCTGGAAGTCTGGCTGTTTCTGTTT